GGCAGTTCAACTGCTAAAGACTTCACTAATGGTGACCTTGAGAAATTTTATGGCAGAGGGGACTATTGTGAAAGATTTCATATTTGGACAATAGGGGGTTATTTTTAACTTGTATTGACACCCTGTGTAAGGATAAATGAGACTGAGAATAGTTGATAAGCACTAATATCTAAGAGTGAAAAGCAGAGAGTCTTGGTGGTAGTCTCTAAAGAGGCCTTCTATACCAGTAGTAGAAGGGCAGACACAGTAAAACAGTAGGGCTGAAGACCTGATTGTGAGTTGCAGAGCTCCGGAGGTATTCAGATAGTCAGTCCATGCACATGTGTTATGCAAAGGGCAGGGTCCTGATAGGAATAATCAGGGGTCCTGAAAAGTATGATAGGACATCTGAATGGATGCCTCTGAGGATGTTGACTTAACAACTACAGCTGCACCCTCTGGGCAGGCAGAGGTGACCCACCTCTACCTCTAGTAAGGGCTAGAAACCTCACTGGCTTAGAAGATGCTATATAGTCCTCTCTCCAACAAGACAACAGGTTCTCCCCTCAGGAGTTGCTCTCACCTCCTCTTCTGGCAGCTGGGCCAATTAATGAGGGTGCTGTTAAGCATCTATAAAAAAAAGAGGGGCACCTGGGTGGCTCAGTCAGTTGAGTGTCTGTCTCTTGATTTCAGCTCAGGTCATGATCTCATGGTTCATGGGTTCGAGCTCCGCATTGGGCTCCGTGCTGATAGGACGGAGCCTGCTTGGGATTCTCTCTCTTTCCCTCTCTCTCTGTCCCTCCCTTTCCATCCCCCCTCCCTCTCTCTCTGTCTCTTAAAATAAATAAACATTTAAAAATTAAGCAAAAGAATGGAGGAGCAAGAGGCTGAGGACAGTTAACCCAGTAGAAAGCACAATTCTTTGCTCATTTGCCAGATCTGAACCAATTTTCAGTTTCAGAAATCATTGACAAAAGAGGTGGGTAGATTCCTAGCAGAAAGGACCCTATGTTGGTCCAAGTATATATCTTGACAATATCTCCAGTTTTCGCCCCAAAGGGCCTCTGACCACTTGTGTGGGTGACGGTACACTGTGAGAAAGGAAACGACCAGACATTTTGAAGTCCAAGTTGACATTGATTCCCCAAATGCCTACAGTCCAAATCACACTGGGCCCCATGTGTTCACAAACTCCCCTGCTCCCATGGTGATCATTTTCCCAGTCCCGGAGTGTATAATTGGAACAGATATACTTGACAATTGAAGTTAACCCCCTTACTGGGCCTTCATCTCTGGAGTAAAAGCTATCACAATGGGAAAAAACACATGGAAACTTTAGAAACTGTCCCTCTCCCACCCAAGGTCAAAATTGTAAAGCAAACACAATTTCTTATCCCGGGGAAAAGAGCAGTGATTAGTGCCACAATTAAAAACCTAAAAGATGGAAGGGTCCTAGGACCTATCATTGTTCTATTTAAGTTGCTAGTCTGGCCCCTGCAAAAACTGGATGAATTTTAGAGAAAGACTATAGACCACTGCAGGCTTAACCAATTGGTAGCCCCAACTGCAGCTGCTTTGCCAGATGTGGTATCCCTGCTGGAGCACACTAGTCAGCCTTCAGTGTAGGGTGTGCAGCCACCGATTTCGAGAATGCATTCTTTTTGTTCCAATTAGAAAAGAGGATCAAAAACAGTTTGCGACTTCTGGCTTCAGCTCCAATATGCATAGTGCTGTCATTACAACAAAAAAAAGGTGAATCATTGTTCACACTGTTCAACACACCCAATCACTGTTCTTGACTCATTAGTGAACTGAGTTTGCAGGGCAAACTCCCATCCTGAAATCTGTATAAACAGACAAATCCAGATAGTTACTAATGACATCTGCTTCCTTGGAACAGAGCCTGCTCAAAACTGGTAGGAACACTTACATGGTGATTTTGATGAATTAATGGAGGAAAAATAGGCATATCCACTCACTATTAAAGTAACACCCACCCTGTCAGTAATTGATAGATCAAAAAGGGAGAAAAGTCAATAGAGACATAGTTGACCTGAACAGCAATCAACTCAATCGATTGACATTTATAGAATATTCCATCCAATGACAGAATACAGTTTCTTCTTATGCTTACATGTAACATTCACCAAGGTAAACCATAGAAGACTCTCAGCTTCATGAGGTCAGGATCTGGGTTTGTAAATCTCACTGTGGTATCCTTAGCACAACATCTGGAACATAGGAGGTGCTTGATGAATATTTTTTGAATAAATGAATGAATTGTAATATTAGGTAACAAGACAAAGAATTTAGTCAGGATAGGAGTAGTAGCGCGATATAGTCTAACACAAAGAAAGTGTATTAAAAATATTTAAGCTTCAAAGCTTAGAACTGTAAATCCACATCAGTAAATAACATAGAAACTTCTTCTGTCATAGAAACTGCCACTTGGTTAGTATTCCTACCCCCCTGCTTTCATTTTGCCACTTGTTTAATACCTTCCAATAGCCCCCTGTGTTTAGCTTCCTGAGCCTGGCAATCTGAGTCTTCTATAGCCAGGGCTTTCCTTAATTATCTTACCTTACCTCTTATTTATTTCTCAAATACTTTGCTTCACCTCTGTTATTACCGCTAAATAATCATTTTGACTCAAGTCTTTGATCAATATATAGCTCCCCTTTTTCTCCCATCCAAATCCTTCTCTTTTGGGGGATCCTGAATGCTCTCTCTAGTCCGTGTTGATTGGCCTCTTTAAAAAAACTTGTGAGACATTTATTGTCTGTGCTTCACATTTTGGCATTTCATCATATATTGCCTTGAATTTTACCTGTTGCATATGTACATTTCTTGTATAAGCTTCTAGAGTTCTAGGTCATATCTCATTCAGGTCAACATTAATATAAAAATAATTTGTATCCCAGTAGTTTATCAATAAGATAATTTCTTTTAGAACTTGGAGTGTGAGGCACCTGGGTGGCTCAGTCAGGTGAGAGTCTGACTCGTGATTTTGACTCAGGTCATGATCTCATGGTTTGTGAGTTCGGGCCCCCACATTGGGTTCTGTGATGACAGTGTGGAACCTGCTTGGGATTCTCTCTCTCCCTCTCTTTCTGCCACTCCCCTGCTGACTGACTCTCTCTCTCTCTCTCTCTCTCTCTCTCTCTCAAAATAAATAAATAAAATAAAATAAAAAGAACTTAGAGTGCGTTTTCCCATTGAAACAATATTAAAAAGAGTTAGATTATCTTTTACCTTTATAAAAGTGTATTTAACAAATGATGTTAACTGAACCATATTACTCTGGTGGGCTAAGCTTGGAATCCTTGGAGCAAAGGTCTGTGCAGCAGTATTTTGCACTACTTCCATCAGTGTCTGATTATTGGTTTAAAAACTCTTCATACTTGAGCAGTGGCTTATTTCATTAGGGTATAGTTTCCTTAAGATAAATCAGTTTAGCCTCTTAAATTTGTGGGACTTTCATGGAGCTTCTTCTGGAGCAAGTTTGTATTTGGGGAAGGTGGACTGAAAGCCGTTTATGATGCCAGTGTGTAATTTTCAAAGACAAATAATGCGTGCCTGAGAAATATCACCCAGTTATGTTTTAATGGTAATCAAATATGCATAGTGGAGAATTGTCACAACCAAGGGATTTGTTTTATCACTGGTGTTATTTTTAGAGACAAGAACTTTCCTGGTCTCAGCTGACCTAATTATCCTATTGATACAATTTTTAAAATCCTAATAATTATAACAAGTATCTAGGAGAGTATTAGTAAAGTTTTTAGAGAATTAACTATTTTTCAGGAGGAAGATATGAGCTCTAAAATATCTCAGTTTCACCTTGTGGAGCTTTAAATCAGCTGCTTCTGTTTTTGTTTTTTTTTTTTTCTTTAAATGTTTTAATAAATTCAGTGACCTAGATCATGACCAACAAGGGTTATATAGAATTCGATTTGGAGATTTTTTAAAAAACATTAATGTGTAAGAATATGAGAAATAATTGGGGTTACTGCAAATGATTAGTTATTAGTTTAGGGATTAAACTTTTAATTCAAATTGGTATAATGCATTATTGCTCTGGCACTTGGCTAAACCTCTACTCAGCTCCAGCTATTTGTGATGAACGGTATCTGCATTGAAGTCTTAGCTTCCAGAACTGTCCTACTCTGCAGTATTCTCTCAGTTCTTCTGGCCATCAACTTCATTGTCTGTTCTTCCTCTCTACTATTGTTATGCTGGTATCAATCATATGGATATATACATAATAATTGTTTAGCATGTGTGGCTTTTGGAGTCAGATTACCTGGGTTCTTTTTTTTTCCCCCAAAGATTATTTATTTATTTATTTATTTATTTATTTATTTAATGTTTATTTATTTTTGAGAGAGAGAGACAGAGAGACAGAACATGAGCAGGGGAGGGGCAGAGAGAGAGGGAGACATAGAATCTGAAACAGGCCCCAGGCTCTGAGCTGTCAGCACAGAGCCCGACGTGGGGCTCGAACTCACAGACTGTGAGATCATGACCTGCACCCAAGTTGGATGCTTAGCCGACTGAGCCACCCAGGTGCCCCTAAAATTTTTATTTTTAAGTAATCTCTACACCCAACGGGGGGCTCAAGATCAAGAGTCACATGCTCCACTGACTGAGCCAGCCAGGCACCCCAGACTACCTGGGTTCTAATAACAGCTTCACCACTTATTAGCTGCGTGTCTTTGGACCAGTTATTTAACATCTATCAGATGTGATTTTCTTAACAGTAAAATGGAAATAAATATATTAGCCGTCTCTATGGCTGTTGTAAGGATTAACTGAAATAATCTGTGGAAAGCACTTAGCACAAGTACTGACTTGGCATATTGTTAGGATTAAAAAATATTGTAGTTATTACTATTACTTAAAAGGTATATACTATAGAATTTGAAATCACAGAAGGTTATGGGGTAGAAGGCATTTGTCACTGAAATGTATTATTATTTAGAACATGAGTAAATGGAAATATTTACTATTTATACTTTCAGGAATCCTTAAATATATTACTTAAACAGCTAGAAAAAGAGAAAAGGAGGCTTAAAAATCAAGTGAAAGACTATGCACTGAGACTGGAACAAGAATCAAAGGTTTGTTTTTATTCTATACTAGAAATTTCTTTGTAACTGCCATGATTTTTAGTATGTTATCTACAAACCTACTATATTATTATCACAAAATACTTACAAAACTATTTCCTACACTATTTAAAAAAAACATAGAGACATAAACTTGACTTAGTAATAGTCTTGCTAGTATTGCAAATCTTCTCTGATGTTGGGTTCTTTATTTTTGTATGTTTCTTGTAGGCTTACCACAAGACCAACAATGAGTGCCATACCTATCTAGCTGAAATGTCTCAGGTAACTTTTGTTTTCTTACTTCCAAATTTTAAGAGTTTCCTCTCACTATAAATTACATTTTTCACTTTTCTAGGTTTTTGATTGGTTTGATTTGATAAACATGTTGGGATTATAGGAGAAAATGTACCAAGTTTCTAAATATATAAAGTGAAAAAGCAAATTTATAGCTTTTATAAAAAGGCATAAAAGGAGATAAAAGTTTCCCAAATTAAGGGAATTTTTTCATATTTGCTTCTTTCGTTATCTTTTAAGTTTGATCTGTAATTTCTAAAACTCAACCAAATAAGCAGTTATCCCTGTGCTATAATGAAATTCATGGTATTTTATGTCATAATTATGCACAGTGAGATCTAAGATAGATATAGCACTGCTATCACTAGAAAGGGCTAGCAACTTAGTACAGAATTGGAAAGTATGCAACTACAAATGACAGGACAGGAAAGTGATCAGTAAATTAAAAATGATGTTGCATATATTTTCCATAGTTTTTCATTTGCCTTTCAGTTTTATTTATGATGTTAGTATTATTATAGGGTTTTTGTTTTGATGTTGTCAGAGCTATTTTTTATTTATGGCTTCACATGTCATAGTTTAAAAGACTGTTTTGATCTCAATGTTTCATCTCAATGTTTCATAACATTTATCACATCTTTTTTTTAGTAGTTGGTTACCTATTTAACATTTAAATATTTAAACCTTAGCAACTTTATTCTGATGGATGTTTTAAGATCACGATATGAGTTTAGTTTTCAATGTGCATTATCAAAATGGAAGCATCCAAAGAGCAGTTGGACATATGAATCTCAGGGAAGAAAAGATAAAAATTGGAGATATAAACATGGAAATTATTGGCATATAGATAGTAAATGAAGCCAAGTGAATGAATGAAATGTATCAGGGAGAATACACACAGGGTGAAAAGAAAAGAGAGTCTAGAATATAGCTCTGCAGAGTTTCAACAGTGATAGTCAAGGGACAAAGAGCCAAAAAGAGGATTGGAGTCTTCAGGAGATAACTAGGTGAGGTAAGGAAGTAGAGGACCTTGAGGTCTAGGTTTGCCATAAAGATAGTCTGCTAGTCACTAATCTGGTGTTTCCAGAGGATCAATGAAAGGATTGAGAGGATGGAATTAAGACTGGGGATTGGAGTGGCACTGGGGATTGGGTAGCTCAGTCAGTTAAGCGTCTAACTTCGGCTCAGGTCATGATTTGTGAGTTCGAGCCCCGAATAGGGCTCTGTGCTGACAGCTCAGAGCCTGGAGCCTGTTTCAGATTCTGTGTCTCCCTCTCTCTCTGCCCCTCCCCCACTCACGCTCTGTCTCTCTCTGTCTCTCAGAAATAAATAAATGTAAAAAAATTTTTTTTAAAAAAAGACTAGGGATTGGAGCTGAGAAGGGGATGTATAGAACAATTTGGGAATGAAAGTCAGGGCAGTAGTGGGTAAACGGAGGCTTAGATTTCTAGTACTAAGATTAAATTAGGAAATTGAGACAAAATAGGATCACTCCTTGTAGCCTCCTACCCATAAAACAGTCAGTTTATACTTGATGGTACTGGATACTTAGTTGGCAGCACTACTTACTCCTGCCTTTCATCAGACCATGAGTCCCCCTAGAATATGCTGCTTTTCATACATGTCAACTCCGCTTCCCTGAAGTTCTAGCGTAAACGCTACCTGCTTTATGAGATTGTGATTTGATGAAAGAACCACAGATTTTGGAGTCATTGTAAATTTGGATTTAAAACCCAGCTTTGTACTTGATTGTCATTTGAGCTTTGGGGCCGTAATTTCTTTCCTTCTTGGTAGAAGGGGAAATAATAGTAGTGTCTTGCAGGGGATTTGTGAGTGTTTAGAGATGTAATATATGTAAAGTGCTGAGTAAAATGCCTGGCCCATAATACATTCTGAATTCTAATAAGTGGTGAGTATTATTTTCCTGTTTTTCTTTCCTGATCTCCCGAGCCTCCCTCTCTGTGACAGGGGCATTAGATTTTCTTCCTGCCTCAGCTTCCTCCTTTACCTTTGTTTATCTGAAAAATTCATTTAGGTGGAATAGGTTCTACTCTGATTATGCAGGATCACTGAACATACAATCAAAGCCTATTTTAACAGCTTCCCAGGAAGCTGTTAATCCTGTTCTCCAGTATAAATGTTAATAAGGATTTTCACTCTAGAGTGAATTGTTAATCTTTACAGTCAAAGATGGTTCTGACCATGTGGATACTCCAGTGACTGGAAAGGTCAGTGGATGATCTGCAGTTCTTTCCATGCTGAATACATAAATAATTATTCTTAGGTGGATAACTAGAGCTATTGGCTGAGTCTGTTGTGTATACTGCTGTCTTCACTGTTTTGAATGAAACGGAGTTTCCATATCTCACGATTTTTCCAATTTACATACTATGTGTATAGTTGATTTTTAAGAATATATAAGTACATTCATTACTTAAAAGCCAGGCAGAAAGACTGACTAGAGCTGCTTGTAACACATAATAAACTTAAGTTCTATTCCCATAAACATAGAATTTTAGCAGTGGATCGATCTGAGACATTGTTGAATATAATACTTTGGTTTAAAGATAAGGAACCTGAGGCCAGTCTGTTTCATTGTCAAGCAATTGTAATTATTAGAATTGTTAAAGCATCATGTGATGCTCCTTATTCTCCTTCCTTAAAATCTATTGGTTTTAGTTGCATCCTCTGAAGAATATAGAATAATTCTATACTTCTCCTGTGTAACAGCTTCTCAAATATTTGAAAACAACCCTTAAGTGTTTCCATAGTTTTTTCCCCTACGCTAAAATATCAAATTACAACAAAAGTTACACTAGCAATTCCCTCTGACATGGGTTCTAACCTATCCAAATGTTCTGTTGTCTTTTCAAACAACTCTATTTTGTTATTGTTCAATTGAAAATAGAGTTCCCCAGATTTAAATCTAGACTTGAAATATAATCTCAATAGCATAGCTGTTAAAATCTTGCCATTTTTGGGGCGCCTGGGTGGCGCAGTCGGTTAAGCGTCCGACTTCAGCCAGGTCACGATCTCGCGGGCCGTGAGTTCGAGCCCCGCGTCGGGCTCTGGGCTGATGGCTCAGAGCCTGGAGCCTGCTTCCGATTCTGTGTCTCCCTCTCTCTCTGCCCCTCCCCCGTTCATGCTCTGTTTCTGTCTGTCCCAAAAATAAAATAAACGTTGAAAAAAAAAATTAAAAAAAAAAAAATCTTGCCATTTTTTTCCTCCTCTGCTGCCTGAGAAATCCTTGCAAAATGCAGATACGATGTTGTTCCCCATTTAAAACCTTCAGTGACTCTGCATTGTCCAGAGGATCTCAGCAAAGCTTGTTAGAGTGGTCTACAATGTCCTTTCCAACACACAGTGCCTGCCTTTCCATCCATGTTCCTGCTCACATCCTGTACTGCAGCCAGACCAGCCATATATGTGGTCCCTACATCTGTCATGTTGCCTTATAGTTGTAGGCCCTTGCTGCTCCTTCTGCCTGGAATGTCCTTTCCAGTTCTTGACTGGCTACTCGTCCAGGCCCCCTATAGCCCAAATGAGCATCTGCTTTATGCTTACAAAGCACCTGTGCAAACCTCTGTCGAGGCAGCGAATTGTACAATCTATTTATTGTGCTGTTTTCTCCAATAGATTGTAAGAACCATGATTTATCTTTGTGCCCTAGTGCTAAATTTGAGGTTGCCCATAGTGGATACTCAATAATATCTGCTGAGTGAATAAATGAATGAATTCCGTCTTCTGGTCCAATATGCCCAAAATTGCCCCTCTTAGCAAATGGTCTCACATCTTCATAAAAATGCTCTTGTCTTCTACCAAAATAAAACAAAAACAAACTTTTATTTTACCCTACCTTAATAAAACTACTACTAGGGGCACCTGGGTGACTCAGGCAGTGAAGCCTCCGACTTTGGCTCAGCTCATGTTCTCATGATTCGTAAGTTTGAGCCCTGCATTGGACTCTGTGTTGACAACTCAGAGCCCAGAGCCTGCTTTGGATTCTGTGTCTCCCTCTCTCTCTCTGCCCCTCCCCCACTCAAGCGTGCTGTCTCTCTCTCTCTCTCTCTCTCTTTCTCTCTCTCTCAAAAATAAATAAATGTTAAAAAACAAACAAAAACCCCCCTACTACTTAGCTTTCCTTTTCTCAGTTAAACTTTGTGCAAAGGTGGATATACTCACTGTTTTGCTTTTACTCCTCAACCTCTTTCAACTCTCTCTGACTCCCACCACTGGCTGTGCCACAGTTTACTTTTTAATTGCCAAACACGACTCCTTTTCAATCCTCCTGGTAGTAAACATCTCTGAGGCATTTCATATTGCTAACCACACTCACTTTTTTGAATATCCCTCATCTCTTGACTTTAATGACAGTATTTTGTCCTGGGTTTTCCTATTGTTTAAATAATGGCCTTTGGCAATTCTCCTATCCCTTAAAAGGTGCTTGCTTTCTCTAGTTTATATGATCAGCTCTCTTCTCTGTGTGTTCTTACTGAATGACCTCATTTACTCATGTCTTGAATTGCTATCTATCTCTGAGGTCATCAGCCTTGATTGTTCCACCACCTACAAAGAAGTCTCCACTCTTGTGCCGTGGAAGTATCTCAAAACAGACAAAAATAAAAATACGATCTTGTCTTTCCATTTCAGGACGCATACAGCTTCTATGGTCATATCTTCCTTAATGACAGAGTGCATGTATTATTTATATTCAGTGTCTATTACAAAAACTTTTAATGATCTTTATACCCATAGATAATATGATTTAAACAATTTCCTCTGTATTTGTTATAAAAACCACATGGAATGTGGGGTTGAGATAGAGGGGTCTCCATAATATTTAGAAACCTTATAATCCTGGAGAAGGCCAGAATTTAGTTTCTCTTATGCATGCCACCTAAGGGCCTGGTTATAAAAGAGTTAATTGAGAATGGACTATTTCTCTTAGCTCAAAATCAGTCATGAAATAAGAGGACAAATGCTCAAATGTTTGTATTTCAGGTCTCTGACTCATACCATGTTTCTAAAAGGCAACAGATGGATCAACTGCCTAGAATGAAAGAGAATTCAGTGAAAATGTAAGTCTAACTGTATCCTTCCTTTCTAATTAAGTACATTTGCCTGTGGATGGTACTGACAAAACAGGTGTCCATTATATTTGGAAGTTGAACTTCTAGATTTTATAGCAACAATATAAAATAACAAACAGATGGTAGAAGAACTTAAAGAAGTTTGTGCTCTCTATTCACTATTTATATACATTTTTGTAGATCCCAAGAATATGTTTTGTCCTCCAACATGGTAAGTTCTTGTTTCCTAAGCTAGAACAATGCCATACCCAAGAAGAGCCTAAATCGACACCATTAACAACAATATAAATACAATTAAATTATCAGCCTTAACTTTTTTACTGACCAGAGATGGATACTGAAATTAGTGTAGATGACAGTGCAGTTTAAACTGTGTTTTCCTATGTAAACAAAGACAATTTAGGATGAATAAAGAACAGAGGAATGTTTTATGCGTTTAGGAAGTTATGTCCACACATGATTTTTCCTGTTCTCTACTAAATCCAGAAGAATTAGTCAGGCAATTCTACCTTATTCTATTTAGGAGAATATACTTATATATAAATTAATGATATAAAAAAGTAAACCAAGATGTAAATTAGTATAAATCAGAATTCTTTTCAAATACAGGCACTCAAGGTATATGCAATATCTTAGCAATTTTCTTTTTCGTAGAGATTCAAGGGATACATTTTGTCCAATATTTGGTTAGATGGGTAAAAGTGTATTCTTCCTTCAGTAGTCATATTTTAGTTTAGTTTAGTTTAGTTTATTCTGATAGAGACAGAGCAGCACAAATGGGGGAAGGAGCAGAGAGAGAGGGAGAGAGAGAGAGAATACCAAGTAGGCTCCCTGCTGCCAGCTGTAGAGACCAGTGTGGTGCTCAGACCCATGAATTGTGACATCATGACCTGAATCAAAACCAACAGTTGAACACTTAGCCAACTCAGCCATCCATGCACCCCATGGTCATAAATATTTTAAATTATAAATCATTATCCTGTATATTTTTATCAGTAGAAATATAATAGAGTTAAAACATTAAATTCTGGGAAAGAACTTCCCTCTGGAAACTATTATGCCTCTGTGCTAGGGGGCCCCAAGACCACTCCCCTGTTCAGTGATTTGCTAGAACAACTCACAGGACTCAGCATGTATTTGTGCACACAGCTAGGATGGATTTCAGCCAAAGGATACGAAGAAAAATCATCAAAGGAAAAAGGTGTATGGGATGAAGTTTGGAGGCAACTAGGTACAAGTTTCTAAAAGTCCTCCAGTGGAGTCACATAGAACACACTTAATTCCTCCAGCAGTAGGTTTATACCATGTGCAACAATGCATGAAGTTTTATCTTCCAGGGAAACTCATCAGATACAGTGCCTGGGGCGGCGGTGGGGGGGCGCCCACTGGTCACATATGTGCCCTGTGCTCAACACATACCAAATTCCAGACTTCCAGAAGGAAAACAGATGTTCACATAAACCATATTGTTTGTACAGCTTAAGTACAGTGAGCCGTTCTCTTTCATTTAAGGAAAGTTATATCCGTGTATGGAACTTTTTACCACTAAGTTCCCAGACACCAACCAAGGGCCAACCTTGCAAACAGGCCTTTGTAAGGAAAGCAGTTTCAGGCCTGGTACAGTCACCCTGCATATTTCTTTTTTTATTTTTACATATGTCTTCCATTTCAAATTTCTTTTAGAAAGATATTACCTCTTTTATTCAAATCTACTTAAATAATGAAGGGAGAAATATTTTGCAAATACAGATAAAACTTACTCTAATCATCACACATATACATATATAACACTAGACTATACTCTGTTAGAGCAGTTTGATTTTCCACTGAATACTGTTGTAGATTGGATCTCTCAGGGAGACTCTGAAATCAGCATGCAAGAAGTTTACTAGTGAGCCTTCTTAAAATGAGTTCCTCGAGGGCAAGGGAAGGAAATAGGTTTAGGCAGAGAGAATAGGAGTGCAGTGCAGCTGCAGTCCCTTGTATCAAGCTGACTCATCAGTGGACGAAGCGTGGGCTTTCTTTCCTTCTAATGGGGTGACCTACCCTGAGAATCTGAGTCCTGTTTGCCATGTGTAAGTGGTACTCATCCACTTACTGTCAAATTGAGCAAGGCAGTATTTAAGGAGCCTTGAGCAAATGACCTAGATACCAAACTCCTTCCTCCTGGCCCCCTGCTGTATCACCCTGGCAGTCAGTGTCTGCTGGGCCTCCATGACATCGGTCTGAATTGAGCTAGAGGTGCTGGTGCATCAGAGGTGGATGACGTGGTCTGAAATACCTGCTCAGTAAGCTTGTTTGGGGCCTCTGGCACCGCACTGCTTGAGCTCAGATGTATCACTTCCATCTTTGATAGAACCTAATGTTGAATATAGTGCCTGGCATGAATAGGTGTTTACTAATTTTTTTAATGAACGCATGAGTGAATAAATGATTACACAAATAGACAAACAACTCTTCATTTTCTAGAAGTATTAATAACGCAAATAACTCAAATAATAGAAACATTTCTATATACCTATAACCTTCCAAATTAGGTATATATAATTGGCACTACTTTAAAATATTATTGGGGCGCCTGGGTGGTTCAGTTGTTTAAGCCTCCAACGCTTGATCTCCATTCAGGTCATGATCTCAGGGTTCCTGAGATTGAGCTCCACATCAGACCCCGCTCAGATAGCATAGAGCCTGCTTGGGATTCTCTCCCTCTCTCCCTCTCTCCCTCTCTGCCCCTCCCCCACTCATGCGTACTCTTGCCCTCTTGCTCATTTATTATTACAATAAATAAATAAACTTAAAAAAATTGTACTTAATTACTGCCTTAACTCTGGAATTTAGTATACTTTTTGATTTTAGTCTTAAAATCAAGTTTTAGAAAAATAAAGAAAACCAAGTTTTAATGTTAAGCACCCCACAGAAGAGGATATCCAAATGGCCAATGGACATGTGAAAATGTACTCAACACCATTACTTATTCAGCCAAATGTAAATTAAAATCATGAGATGACCAGGGGTGCCTGGTAGCTCAATTGAGCTACCGACTCTTGATTTCGGCTCAGGTCATTATCCCAGTGTCGTGGGATCAAGTCCCACATTGGGTTCTGTGCTGGGTGTGCAGACTTCTTGGGTTTCTTCCTCCCCCTCTCCCTCTGCCCTTCTCCCTAGCTTGCTCTTGCTTTCTCTCTCTCTCAAAAAAAATTTTTTGAGAGGCCACCACAAATTTTAAGGTTGCTAATTCCAAGTGTTGTCAAAGGTATGGAGGATGTGTAAATTTATGCAACCACTTTGGAATAGTGTTTAGTATTACTTTCTACATTTAGATGATTATGTAACTACTCTATGACCCAACAATTGCATTCTTAGTTACATACCTAACCAAATGGTACATACATTTACACCAAAAAAACCTGTCCAAGAATGTTTCATAGAAGCTTTATTCATAACAGCCATAAGCTGAAAACAACTCAAATATCTATCAGTAGCAGAATGGGGGTGCCTAGGTGGCTCAATTAGTTAAGCATCAGACTTCTGATTTTAGCTCATGTCATGATCTCATGTTTTATGAGATTGAGCCCTGCATTGGGCTCTGTGCTGACAGCACAGAACCTGCTTGGGATTCTCTCTCTCCCTCCCCTTCTACCTCTCTGTAGTTTATGCACACACCCTCTCTCCCTCAAAATAAATAAACATTTTTTAAAAATAGTAGAATCGATAAAATTAAAAAAAAAATTTTTTTTCCAACATTTATTTATTTTTTGGGACAGAGAGAGACACAGCATGAACGGGGGAGGGGCAGAGAGAGAGGGAGACACAGAATCGGAAACAGGCTCCAGGCTCTGAGCCATCAGCCCACAGCCCGACGCGGGGCTCGAACTCACAGACCGCGAGATCGTGACCTGGCTGAAGTCTGACGCTTAACCGACTGCGCCACCCAGGCGCCCCAGAATCGATAAAATTTTTTAAGAGATACAAATTTATACATCTATGTTACTCATATAAAAACAAATATTCATATATTTATTAATAATAACATGAATATATTATATATATGAATAATAACAATAAAAACAAACTACAGCTCACACAACATCATGGATAATCATCACAGTGTTGGGGAAAAGAGGCCAGAAATAAAAGAACACGTATGATTCTATTCATATCATGTTCAAAGACAGGCAAAATTAAACTGTGGTGTCAGAAGACAGGATAGTGTTTACTAATGGAAAGGAGAAGGGGGATGATAATTGGGAGGAGCACAAGGTATTCCGATGTGATGGCAGCGTTCTGTTTGTTGACCTGGGTAGTGGTTACATGAGTATTCACTTTATTATAATTCATAGCGCTTACAACAATGTTTTATGCACTCTGTATATATATTATACTTAAAGCAGTATTTTAAAAATCAAGTTTTAGTGGCTTTTAATGTTTGCTTTGGTTGATATTCCTACATATGCTAATATTAAATATCGACTTAGGGAGTTTTCCTAATGTTCAGAATAAATCAGAGCATTAGGAAATACCCATTTCACTGTGATATGCTGTTTTTTAAAAAATATTTATTTATTTTGAGAGGAAGAAAGGGAGAGAGAGAGCATGCACGTGGGGGAGGGGCAGAGAGGAGGAGAGAGAATTCCCAGTAGGCTCTGTGCTTACAGCATATGGTGCTTACAGCCCCATGTGGGGCTGGATCCCACAAACCGGGAGATCATGACCTGAGCTGAAATCAAGAGCCAGATGCTTAACTGACTGAGCCACCGAGGTGTCCCTGTGATATACTATATATTTTTTTTAAGTCTATCAAAGAGGGATAAGTGAATATTAGCCACCACATATACTCCTACTTTGTGGAACCATGCCCAGAAATGAACAAGATATCTATACTGCTATTGAAAGACGTATTCCAGAGATCCTTGTATAGACTGATTTGAAAAAAAGATACAGGGCACCTGGCTGGTTCAGTCAGTGGAGCATGAGACTCCTGATCTTGG